AAAGAACTGTTATCCTAAACACACCATGAACTTGTCAAAATCAATGAATTGATTTCCAAGCAGGCAAAAACCCTTAGGATACCTAATATCAAAGAAGCTAAGAGAGGCAAAAACCCACCATATACAAAGGACTTTTTTCAACAAGGATGGCCAGAACCTGTGAATTCAAACAAGGAGCGACCACGCACTCCTACTGAAGCAGCCCAAACCAGACACCACCAAAGGCTGAGGAGATCTGGGCACTGTTGGCAGGGATGCAAAACGGACAGCCAAAGAATCTGCATTTCTAAGATGCCCCCCACACCCCCTCTGGTGCCCAGGGGCAGCTTGTCTCAAACCGCACCTTGAAAATTATCATTACAGAGAAATCAAAAACCGTTTCTGGGGTGGGGGTTGGGGGCGGAGGTGACAGCCCCATCAGTAAGGCACTTGCCTTTAGCAGTTTCACAGTTCTGTGTATAATGGAACGGGACATAAGCTTACCACAGGACTCAGTCACGTCGTGAGCAGGAAGCCCTAGGAGTCCTAGGTCAGTGAATCTCCTCTGATGCCATCAGTGAGTCTGTGACACTGTATAATCTGGCATGGGACACAGCATGAACAGTGCCACACTAAGTGGGAAGGGAACTATAGGGAAGATGTCCACCTTATTGCCTAGTGCATTTTCTAGAATTCCCACACGTTTTAAATGTGAATACACACTAAGTGAACCACTCCTATTGCAGATCCGACACCACATTCTATGGAAATAACCCATCTTCTTTTGGCGAAGACTTTTGATAAGACAATAGAATTCTTTAGGCTAAAGGACTTAAATGTCATCTCTTTTGCCCACAGACAGAATACTCTTGGGCAGATTTTATAAGCTCCGAGTTGCTTGGCACAGAAAGTGAGAATAGCCCCAACTTTCTCACAGGTTAGCTGAACTGTTGGATAAGCATAGGCAAAGAACCCAAGAACTGTGTCCAATGTAGCTATGTAAACAATAATCTTGCTTTCTCCAAAATCCTAATTCTACCAAAGTAGGATAGTCAGCCCTCCTCCATACCCACGGATCCAACATTTCAGACTGAAAACACTGGGGGTAGACTGTCTCACTACAGGAGGACAGGTCTTACTGTTGCTCCTAAGTGCCAGTCTACCAGCTAACCTAGAAACTGTGGGTGGGGACACACACATACTGTACCACTGTATAAAAGGTACTTGAGTCTCATCTGTGGATCTGAGCACATCCATTCGCACTCCAGAGACCAGGAAGCTCCTCGTGTCTTCCAGGAGGTCAGTTCTGCATTCCGGTGAAAAACTAAATATTCTAACTGGCAGCTAAAATTAGTGCTAAGATCTAACAATGCTGCGTTGTCAGGCATCTGGCTCTATCTCAATACGCAGCACAGGATTGCGCCTGCACTAGAACTTGGGCTTCCTTCCCGCATCTACTTCTTCCCCGTCTTCAGTGGTTTGCTGCATTTCCCAAACTGTTCCAATGTAGCACTGCTCCTCATTTCTAAATCTGTTACTAAACACAAGTTCATTTCCTCAGTGCCAGTCATGTAACAATAGTTTGCCTCCAAAAGGCATGATTACCCTTAAATCTGCAAGGACATCCTGGAAAAGTAACATTTTATATTATACAGGTCATTTAACACACAATTCAGTTTTCTGTGTCAGAACTATGTAAGCAAACCAAAAACCCCTTAGGTGGAGATTATACTTTGTATCTGATTTTCCAAGGTCTTCCTTATTGCCTCGACTCTAGTCTTTTACTAAACTATGCGCCTTGTACAGTTTTTGACTACTGTGCATCACTACATAAATTATCTTGCTTAGGACAGTCTCAGCATAGTAAACTTAAATTTACTATGGATAAGTAACTGGATAAACACATAGGGACTTATATAGGATATATAAGTGATATAAGATCCCATGGACAAGCAAGGTCAGGTTCTACCAGACCTTGTATTGTCCAGACACATCTGTATTGTGCTGGGCTAATGTTACACCTTAAGAAACAATGAAAATCAAAACATGATCAGAGACCTCTAAGGCTCTCAAAGACATGCTTTATGAATAGGGATACAGCAGTGCTTGATCAAGCAGAGCGGGGGGAGGGGGCTCAAAGCTGATGGGACCAGTTAGACATCGCTAAGACTGTCACAGATGAGAAGGATCAGACTTGTTTTGCTATCCAGGAGGGCCAGGAAGACCTATAACGTGATACTCTGCCCCAGCTGTGGCTGAGTCTTCCACACATGTATTATTTATGAGTAGTGTGGAGTTAGAAATGCTACACTGTTTCTATGTATCAATCAAGATGTATGTACAGGGGTGATAGACTGGTTAGAGATCAAAGCACACAGGAGCAAATTCTAGGTCAAGTTCTTCTCAGAACTATCCCAAACTCAGAACCATCTGTCTCACCAAAGGGTGGATTGGTGGGAGATTTACATCAGCAATTATTCCGTTTTACACTAAGTAGAATAAATGTTTAAAATCTTTCTAAGTAAAAGCAGAATGTTGACAAGCTGTAGTCCTTATGAAAACAACTCAAACATGATGTAATTCATGTTGTTTTCTACATTACCTCTCGTGAGTCAATGACACCTGTGACCTTAAGAAAAAAATTCTAACTGGTTTTCTACCATAGTCAAGACTGAATTTCTCTCAGATACACCAAGTATTATATTAACACTCAAGTTTTTTAACCTATTGAACTGTCCCTTAAGGAATGCAATAGTGTAACTTCCTCTTTGCAATTACTTTCATATGCTAGATAATATTTCTTACTCTTAGAACTACATTAAGTGAATTTTTATAAAAGTCCTTAATTTATTAAACCAAAATAAAGACAAAGCAATAGACAAGAAGACAGAGGCAAAGCGAGGCCAGGTGGTAACTGTGGGACACCCACACGTCCATGCCAAGTACAGCGCTTTCATGGTCCTCACAGGATGCAAGGTACCACTTGGCCAGAGTGATACACACCTGTGATATACTCAGGAGGCTGAGGCAGGAGGACCACAAGTTGAAGACAGCCTGTGCTGCACAGGAAGACTATCTCAAATAAAACCCACTAAATTAAGTATGGGTCATAAACACTAAGAGAGGAAAGGTAGAAGCTGCCGTGGCACCTCATAATATTAACAGGTTACCTGTACATAAAGAATACAATGTCTATGGATGTATTTCTAATAAATCCCAAGCACGTAAAAACAAATCTGTGGCTTGTCTATTTCTGTGGTCTGGAAAAGCTTCCGGGAAAATCACATTCCTGCTCCTTTATCTCTGCAGAGAAGTCAACCCTGTGGGGTTATGTCGTCGGGAAACACTGTGCTGATGGCATTCTGAAGCTCCTCTACCTGCACCGTGCCTTACCTCTTCTGTAGAGAGTCCCCTTGACCAGAATTTCTGAAAACTCCGATGCACACTTCAAAGTTCTGCAGAATTTTTACTAGAGTCTAAGTTTGCCTCAGATGTATACACTAGTGGAAAACTCCAGGGCACCTGTGTGATTACTTTGAATTTTTTTTCACATCTAGAACCCAATTATTAGGAAATCCTTTTTACAGGTAATAGAAATAACTGAATTGGGGGGAGAAAAAAAAAAAGGCCTTGCTTAGAAAACCCAAGCATGGACATTCTGCTCAATAGGGCAGAGAAAAGTGAGCTGTATGCACACTTGAAGTAAGTTTAAATAAAGGTCAGTATTTCATAGCCACTGGATTGTGACTTTTCATAGAAAGAAGCTATCCAAAGATCTATCCCCTTCCAAAAAACCAAAAACCAAACCTTTATTTTATCACATACAAAATCAAAATATGCTCATACTACAGCTAAGCTATTCAGTGGTAGTGAAGCCGGAGGCCACGCCAGACTCCTGAGCATGTGGGAAATCACCACATTCCCACTCTACAATGTTTTCTTTTGAGGGCTAATGACAGTATGGGAAGACTGCAAACACAGCATGGAGACCTCTCACTTTGTCATTATCTTTGCAATCGTTTTGAAATTTCTGATGCATACCAAAAAGCTCATGTAGAGAAACACAGCCTTCCTCTGCAGCAGGACTGTGAACCTTTAATACCTCAACTAACATTAGGAGCTCTGCCCTTTAATAGGAAATTTACTCATCATTTCCAAACTTACCCGATGAATAAATAAGCCTAAAGACTCCCAGCTTCATCTCCTGCCCCAGTGTAGCAGGCATTTCCAACTAAACCTTCCACTTAGTATGCTCATTTTGCTCTGAGCGAGTGGCATTTCCTTGGGGAGCCAAATCGCTAGGCTGTCAAGCCTTGAGCTTTATTTCTTGGGAGGGACTCCAACTTACGTGATTTAAAGTGTGGGAGTCCACTTCCTGAAGCTCACTTATTTCCTCTGATAGATGCAGCAGATTGAGAAGGGAACGTGCCATGGTGGCGGCTGCTGGGAGGGGAGTATGTATGGCTGGGAAGACCAGCGTCACCCGTGTCTAGAAACGTTAAAAGCAAGGGACTCTCAACCCAACATCTATTATTTGCTCAAGGTGAACATTAAAGAGAAAACACTTTTCTTGGTGACACCTCATGACTTGGGTAGTTCTCTAATCAGCCATTATTTCTAATAGTTTCTGTTTTAAGCAGAAGAATAATTTATGTATGCTATTTTGTAAGGGGTTATATTTTGATCAATCTAATCTCAAAAATTTGATCAAATTAGTCCTAATATTTACTATACTGACTCTAGAATTTTAACAAAGGATTTTTTTCTAAAATAAAAAAAATTAGAAAACAATATATTCAGAAACACTTAGCAAAAGACACATAAAGTACACTTAAAAATACGGTTGCAATTTTCACTTTCTATTCCTGAAACAAAAATAAGCCATTTATCAGTAAGTGCATTTTTTCCATGGAGAAAATATTTATTAGTTTTCAAATGATCACATAATACAAATATTACACAATAAATCATTCTAGAAAAAAAATCACTTATATTAATATTCATAAAGTAAACAGGGAAAAGATATAGAATTGCATATTGTGACACGAAATTGTTCTTTAAAAATCTAAAAAGAAAATGCATCAAAATTAAAATTCAAACAAAACAGTTCACAGTGATATACAAAGTTTCACTTTGCAGTAGCTTGTAGTGCATGAGGTAACGGGAAATGCACTTACATCTCTTTTGCATACGTTAAGGAACAGAGCTGAGATTCATTAAAGCTTGAGATTCCAAGTTAAATCACTTTCTGTCTTCAGTGCTGAGACAAAAGACTAGTGGACTCAGGCCATAAAATGGTTTGCACTGTGGTTTAAAGAATGCAATGGGATGTCTAGGTAAATCTCGCTTTCAGTTCTGAATTCCTTCTAAAATGTTAGATAATTTCTTTTTTTTTTTTTATGTACTTGTGAACTATCTTATTAAGTCAGGACTACAAAGCTGTAATCATTCTACAGGAATTCAGAGTACTGTGGGGAATTTTTCAGTTCAAAATTATCTTTGATATTTACTTTTAAGCGTTAAACTTTTGAAAAACGATTTATAATTAAGAAATAGTTCTTATAGCCAAGAAAGACTAAAAGCAGGTTATCTCCTAGCTGATAGCCTTAAATGTTGAGAGGCTAACATTTTAGTTGTCCTATTATTAATTCTACAATTGCTCTCCTTAAAAATTATTCCAATTTAAAAGGAACTGGTAGTATCAGGTGACTGTTATGGTTTTCCTTAATAGCTCTGACTGGCCAGTTACCTGATAACCAAAGAAAGAAACAGCATTTTGATAGCTACTGCCAACTGGTAATCTGGACAGTTCCTTTAAACCTATTGACACCTACAGGCTATTCTGACTGTTCATTGCCTCTGCTCCGCTTCACTCAAGCGGCAGAAGGCCTCCAGTGCAGAGTAAACCCTAACGGGCATTTACTGTTTAGGAACACAGACTGGACTCTGTCGGGTCTCCGAGACAGCTCTATGGCTTTCATGAGTTGATAAATTACAGTTAAGAATAAGGCTCAGGACCAGCAAAAGATGAGTCAAGAGTAAGTCCTAACACTTACGAACTCTTCAAGACTTGGGCTCACCCTTTATTCACTTTAGCACAGGGTGACAAAAGAGGTGGCGGAAGGGTTCCTCAAACAGTCTGTATTTTTTTAATGCTACTTTTAAAAGTGGGGGTTGCCTATGTGATTAAAATGATTTTCAGTCCCACAATCTTTTAAGTGACACAGATACAGAGAGCTGCTTTGAAAGACAAGACTCTCAAACTTCCTCTATTTCAATCTTCAGAATAAGAAATATTTTCATGGCCATGTAAAACTCCAATATGAAAGGATTACTTCATTATTTGAGCCTTTCCATTTTCAGACCAAAAATAAACCAGAATAAATCTTAGAAGTTTGTAAGTAACAAGATCAGGTGGCTGGCTCATCCTTGTGTCTTCTAGACATAGTGCATGGATCCATTCACCACTGCCTTCCAAACTGCAGGTGCTGCCATGTGTGACAGATATCATCCATGAGGGCTCTGCTAGAAGAGTTCCTTTTGCTGAAGAGGTATGATGTTTTACCAGTTGAAAGAAATCTGGGCAATTAGAGAACAAATAAACCGGTCTCCCATTATCAAGATACCTGGAGTCACAGAAGAAGCCACCAAGGAAACAATGAAAACTTGCCAAAGCACCAACTTCACATTCTACCCACTGTAGATGGTAAGAAATGCCTGGACTCACGCCCTACCCTTGGCATCAAAGAAACTAAGAAAGAACCACCTTAAAATGCCCTAGGAAAAATCTAGTGTTGGCAAAAATTACATTCCTAGGGACTAGAAAACTACTTTTGAGTATATAGCTTTCGGGGACATTAAATCCTGAAACTTATATTCATTCATATTTATTTTATTAAAGAATGACACCTACATTTGACAATAAAGCCACAATAGCACTATCACTCATCTCCTAAGAGACCGAGTGGGAAGGCCTAACATTTAAGGTAGAAAAAAAGACCAAAAAGTCCTCGCTAACAGGGCAGGGTGACACCTGAATATTCAACTGTATAAAATTAGAGATTTCAGGTGTCCAGTTCCAAGATGAAGCACAGAAACTTCAATTTCTGGACTCTACAAGAACTCTATCAAGTTCACTGCTATAATAAAGGCCAGAACATGACTGCTTTTCTTTAATTCCTGTGAGCTACACAGGCAAGGAGCAAATTTTGTGTGTGCCCCAGATTATCCACTGCATGTTATCTGGAGAGAAAATTAAATAAATGCTAGGTTTGTTTTGTGAATGGGCACTAGACAGTACTCTCAGGAAACACAGACTGCAGTCCCACCTGGCTCCTGGAAGAAGCCAAGGGGCTTACCAACAGAATAAATGGGTAATAGAAGGACACGCCACTCTATACATAAACCCAAGTAAATAATGGAAAGCACCCACTTGTTTATTATCCTTTCCCACTCTCTCCAGAAGCTGGATATTCTGTCTCCAAGGGTTCAGTGGAGAAAGTGGAGCCCTGACGTCAAAAGCTCTCCGTGGTCTTGGCTGTATCTGTGGCTCTAGGATCACTCCTTGCACCTCTGGTAGGAGAGAAGCACTGAAATAGAGCTGAATATAGATTTAAGAAAAAATTCTTATTAAAAAAAATTACATACTCTGGTCATTTGAGTTTGTAATGGCTTATCCTCAGGACAAAAAGGAGCTATCTTGGTGCACACTTTCTTAAGTACCATCTTAATTTCAATTTTAGACATCTGTTACCACAAATGATTGATTTCCTCAGTAGCTACTAAGAAGACATCTGTACTGGTCTAAGCCATAACATACTCGGTGACAAACCACTCAACTTCAAACAGAAGATCGGAGGGGAAAAAAATCATAAATCATTATGGGAAACAAGATCAGAGTTGTTTTAAAGGGACAGGGAGAAGGCATTCAGCCTGATACATCAAAAGATCCCCAGTTAATTCTTCTATCGAAGAGAAGAGGATGGATTGGAAAATAGGAACAGAATAATCATAGTAAAAGAATAAATACTACTAATCAGGAATGTCTACAGAGCTCAATTTAAAGGTTTAAATTCCAGTAATTTAGACAGACCGATCAATACTATAGGCCACTATCATTAAAAAAAAAAAAAAGGTTAAACTGGTGTTTTATCAAAGCTCTGACTAATGCCAATGAAAAGGTTTTCATTTTCAAGCGGCCTGTCATCCTTGAAACTGGAGGGCAGGATAATATTCATAGGTAATAGATACTTAAAATTTTTTTAAATGCACAATCCTTTTATTTGGAGTCAAGAGGGACCAGGAATAATCATTAGTGGCCAGAATGTAGAAATTAAAATATTGAAGTATACCAAACAATAGATGAAGATGCTGGAAAATAGCTTTACAGAGGTTCAAAAGCACATAGTCTGATCAAGGGAAAGCTCAAAGGAGAAGCAGAGAGGCAGGCGAGGATTTAAAGTTATGGGGACTAACAGCTCTGCCTCAAGGGAAATGGTCAGTTCTCTTGTGTACAGCATGGTAACTTCTGGTTAAGTCTGAAGCTCTCCCTCTATCTGTAAGGGTGCTGTGTGTTCCTGATGCATGTATCAGTCAGCCGTGGCATCCTACTTCTGGGACTTGGTACATTCTGGGTGAGCGAAGAAGGGGAAATGCAGCCAGGTTACTTTCCCTCACACCACTTGGTCATCACGAGGTTCCTTACCTGTTAAGTGGGCCGAGGGCTGTGCTCTCCTGTTCTCTACCAAACAACCAACAAAGGTTATATCTCAGCATTATGGAGGCAGTGATCACGACAGTGTCTACTGCCTTCACTTCCTCCTGGCTCTGGCAGCCAGTGTGGAAACATACCAAAGCTGAAAAGGAATAGTTACTCTATTATCTAACAATGTTTAGACAACTTTCTTAAAGCCTGAAGATGAAAAGAAAGCCCAACCCTTCTACTTAGGAACATACCCAATTCTGCACAGATGAGGAATAAAAACAGTGTGGCCCAAGAAAAGGAAACTTGTGATGAATCTAACCATCCAACCTGTAATTTCCAAAAATTAAAAGAAATGAAAAAAAAAAAAAGAAGAAGAAGAAAGTAGCAGAAAAGGTGGAATTGGCACTAGGAAAGACAGGGAAGCCATAGCCAGAGTACTTCAAGGGCCAGGGTGGCAGCACGTGGTCCTGGCTCACAGAGCCCATAGACTGCAGGAGACAAGGTGGTTTTTAAAGCACTGCCCAGTGTTATCTCATTGGGGAGAGAGACCAGGAATGATGAAAGGAGAGAAGCACACATTAGAACCAAGACCTGAATACAGACTATCTAGAGAAACACTTTCTAGTCCTTAGAAGTAAAGAAAATGACTGACATTCCCACGGCTGGAACTGTCGTTAGAACTCTTGCTTCGAGAACAGCACGGACCCAGAGCATCGGAGCTGCCTCAGACACACACCCCTTATCCTTCTGCAAGTGAGCGCTACAGAAACGCTGCAAAAATTACCCCACAATAACCCTCCAATTCTTTCTAATTAATTTTGTTGGCAGACCCTTCCTTTTGTGATAATATTCCAACATAAACCACTGAAGATTATTTAAGAATTCTCCATTAATGAAATCTAAGTAAAATTTAACTGTAATAAGGCAGTGTTTAAAAAATCTATTCAGAAATTGTAAACAAAGGCTGAGATTTTTTTTCCAAATGTCCCAGTTTCCCTTCAATTATCAAATAAAAACCAATCATAACATGGAGCTGGATGAAAAATGGGAAAAGGTAAAGCGCCATTTTAAACATTAGGTTAAGTTTACAACTTCAGCAGGAGCACTAAAGAAAGAAAGAAACCTTAACATCTTTATGTTCAGTTATAAAGCAAGTTCAATATGAGCTTCTCAAAGTCCCATTTCTTTCAGAATATTCCTTTATTCTGCCTTCAGCACCAGGCCTTTGACATACTCTTACTCAGCAACAAATAAACACATAGATTTCACCAAATAAAAATTACTTTGATATCATTCAAAGGAGCTGGTATTCTTTTCACTGTAAGTTAAAATTCTGATGGGATTTGATGATTTTATACAAAAAAATATATAATTTCAAGATGAGGTCGTGAAGCTCAGCAATGACATGTGCATCTAATCAGCACACGGGCAAGCACCTCACCACACCGCCCCCAAGCATTCCTCTATGTGAGGTAACAAAGCTTTCTGAAAGATTAATATGTAATTAAAGAGAATAAATTTCAAACCAAAGATAATAAAATCTGTTGTGCTGTGATGTCACAGCAAGGATGTGAATGGCCTCTGTACCCATGGATTAGCAAAGTCATCAACATTCTCTGGAATTGTTTACATTTCTAAAGATTCTTACAGAAAATCCAGCTATGTTCAAATCAAAAAGAAACACTAAGTATTACTTATATATACTTAGCATTATATGAATTTACACATCCCATTGAGAAAGACAAGTTTCTCGGAAATGTCTATCAAATGAGGCTATTTGTAAGATTTACCCTCAGTACTATATTATTAAATGAGGATATATGGCTTGTTAGCTTTACACATTCCTATCATCGAAGAAAAAGAGAACCAACATACCTAATTATTTTTAAACAATGCAGTAGAATAAGTTCTTTGCTGCTGCTGCTTTTGAGGCAGGGCCTCACATAGCCCAGGATGGCCTTGATCCTCCATCTCTGCCTCCCTAGTGCTAGGACCACACAACAGTCCGTACCAGTCCATGGATGTGACTCTCCCTTAAAGACTGTGCAGCCACTGATCCAGTTAAACCTGCTGCTTACCAGTGTGCAGATTTATAAAGTAGACAGCATAAATGACTTGATCACCTCCCATAGCATCTTCTTCTTACCTACCTTCCAGCACTGACTCTTACTGGTTCAAAAGAACTTCCCATGTAAAAAAAATGAACTTCCCATAGATTCCATAACCGTTCCAGTTCGTTATCAGAAGAAAACTTTTTTTTTTCTTAAATAAATGCAGAATCTTTGCTCTCCAGGTCCTAGAAGCGTGTGTGGCACTCTGAATAAATAATTCAGTAAATGTTTTAATTCTTAAGGAAACAACTTTATCCACGGTATCAGAGTTCAGACAAGAGACAAGACCACAGTGCCAAGACCAGGCTATCTACCTACCAAGTGCCAAGCCAGTCGTGGCTACATAGCCAGACCCCATCTCAAAACAAACCAACCAACAGACAACAAAACCCCCTCAACATGTAACAAAATCCCATTATAAATGTTTTTTTCATCTTTTTGAAAAAGCTAACGTTTAAAATGTTACTGGGACTGAAGTCACACCACTAGATTTAAATGTCAAATTTTGTTAAAAGGAAAACAGTAGGTAACTAATCAAATGTGTCTTTACATGAACTAAGGCGCAGGATCGAGTAAAAGAGATGAAAAATGAGACAAGCCTTAATACATGATATTTTTAAAGCGGTCAACTTACTCAAACTGAAGGGCAAAGGGCAATTAGAAAGCAGATCTGTAAGTTCTGCCAGCTAGCTGAGACAGACAGAGAGGAGCAACCTCAAAGGAAAGGCAAAACGCAAACATCCTTAAACCCGACTCTTAAAAAAATTTTTTAAAAAAAGAACTGTCTATGTGACCTGCTATATCAGTTACTCAACTGTGGTTTTTATAATTAGCCTACCTTTTCCCTCTCTAAAAGCTCCTTATGCTGGCTTGTTTTCTTTCTTAGTATACATTATTGGCTTTGTTCTTAGGACAGTCAAGAGACTCTGAAATGTATGTTACTTTCAGAAAAAAAAATGCCTCTTCTATTGTATTTTTTATCCTAGGACCCCAAGTTGTACACTATATGAATACATTCAGAACGAGTGAGAAAAGACAATGAGTAACATTCATGTTTCATTTATTACATCAATTCCTTTAGTATCTTTATCCATTTATGGCAAGAACTGCCATTGCTCAACAACAAGATGAAGAAAGAATACAACTGAAAATGTGCGGATGGCCCCACAGCAAGGATGTCAGACACTAAATCAAGACAGAAGTGCAAGAAACCGAATACATAATGCTGTCCCAGGTCATCACCTCTACAAAGCAAAGAGAAAAACAAAAACTGTCTTAATCAATGATGGAAACAACTCCAGCAATGGAACAAGTAGAGCAGGTACCTCCTGAGCTAGACACTGGGCAGGACACAGCAGCTGGGCAGACTCCTCAGCTGCCTAACTCCTATCCCATCCCATCCCACCAGGAGAAAAGACAAACAGGGTGAATGACCAGAATGCCCATAGAGTTAGCTGGTATACCAGAGACACAGGACGAAGGCATTGCAGAGACCCAACCACCAAGTACAAGATGGGAATCTAGACTGGATCCTAAAAAGATCAGGGAAAACATTATGTCAAAGTTCAAAACCAACTTACAGATTGATGCTGATTTCCTAATTTCTAGATTTGTGATAGGAATGCCAAGGAAAGCTGGGTGGCAGCTTCTAAAAAGACTGCATGACTCACTCCTCCTGTTTCAATACGAAAGGCTAAAATTAAAAACCCAAAAGGTCTTGAATCAGTTGCTGTAACCATGTAATACTCACTGAAAAGAAATATAAAGCATTTTTTTCAGACTCAGAATAATTTAGTCCATTGTTTCTTCAATAATTAATCTCAATGGAAATAACAGCAGTATGTCATTGTGAAGTTCACAGTAGCAAACTAAAAGAAACTAAGAAAGCCTGTGTTGTCTACTGCTCACCAAGAAAGATTCCTGCACAACACTCAGACTGCACTGCCCCCACAAACTAAAACTGTCCAATCTGATTTTCTGTATTTAAAATCCTAGTGTCTTACTAATTATTCAAAGCCTTCATAGTTGTTTCAACTTTTCAGACATTTTGAGAGCAAAATTTTGATGGCAACAATGTCTTAAAAGGAAAGTACTGCCAAAGAGAATATGGTGAAAGACCATTATCATTGTCAAATCAAGGACTCTAGAAATATGACTAGGGCCAGATTTGGTGGAAAATGTCTTTTAATTCTAGCACTCAGAAGGCACACAAAGGCTGACCTCTGTAATTTCAAGGCCAGCTAGGGCTACATGGTAAAATGCTGTATGAAAGAAAATAAAGAGAAAGATAAAATGAAAAAACAAGAAGAGGGGGTGGGGTTTTTTTGTTTGGTTGGTTTGGTTTTTTTTGTTTTTTGTTGTTGTTTTTTTTTTTCATTAATCTTAGCACTGGGAAGTTAGGGAAGATTAGGTGTTCAAGACCAGCCTTGGCTATATGAGAGAGACCCTGTCTGAAAAACAAAGCAAAACCAAAGACAGACAGACAGACTGCTTTGAGTTCACAGTGCATTTGGTTTTAATCCTTGACAGTGCCACTATTACAAGAACTTATTGTCTTTATATTTACTAAGCAAGAGATTCAAACCTCCACTAAGAAATAAAGCGTGGTGCTAGGATAACAGCTCAGTAGTTAAGAACACTGCCTCCTCTTCCAGGACCAGGATTCAGTTCCCAGCACCACATGGTTGTTCAACTGTCTATTAACTCTAGTTCAGAAGATCCAATCCTGTCTTCTGGCATCCCACAGAACTAGGCACAAACACTGTACAGTCAAAACACCCATAAACATAAAATAAATACAATTAAAAAGAAAGGAAGGAGGGGTAGGAGAGAGAGGGCGGGACTGGAGGGATGGCTCTGTGCAACTTTCTTGCAAAGAATCCGAATCTAGCTCCCAGAACCCTATACCAGGAGGTTTATAATCCCTTGTGACTCCAGCTCCAGGGAGTTGAAAGTTTCCTCTGGCCTCTTCAGGTACTTGCACCCAACTACCTGTGTGTATATACATATATATACACACAATTAAAATAGTAATACAGGG